CCGGTGTCAGCAGTTTCTTAAATATTAGCAGATTTCTTGATTTTTCGTCCATTTCTTTGATTATTAAAAACTTTTTTTTGACAAATAATTAAACAGTAAAAAAGTTTTACTGTTTGTCACATAAACAATAAAAATCGCTGAAAAATAGTATCAATTTTGAAAAATAAAAATGATGTGCAAAACAATGTTTGAACAGAAAAAATGTGTTTTCATTTGGGTTTAAAGTCTAAACTTTCAAAACTTATGGGAAAAGTACTACTAATACATACTTTGAAAAATTTTAAACCAGAAACTGTTGACAACTATTGGGTTGTACTGTAAACCAGAAAATCATAAATAACTTTTTGGAGGGAACATTAAGGTAATTCTGGGAACTGGATGTTAGTGCCAGTTATCTGTAATCCCAAGACATGGGCCCTCACCTGCTTATTGACCTACACTTTGCTAATACTTTTGCACGTGTTTATCATTAGGCATTTATCATGTGCTAATAATTAGCAATAGCTAACAATTATTGTGCTGATCATTAGTGAGGGGGGAACGATAAAATTATGGTTATTTTATTTATTTTACTAATCATAACAAATAATTTGTTTATTGAATTATAATAATTTAAATCTCAATTTTATGAGTACACAATACACTCACGTAATAATGTACATGTGAATGTAAATAATGTAAAAATTACTTACCGGTATAATTAATAATAATTAACAAAAATTACATGTTTAAAAAGTAATCAAAAATACATAAATAATTTTAAAAAATAAATGCAAAACAAGGTAAATATTTAAAAATAGCAACAAGTTTACAAAAATAACCATATTTATAACAATTAACTAATAAACAAAACACAATTCAACACAACCACTAAACATGTCTCAAATAAATCATACGATAAATGCTGCGAAAGTGGACAACGGCTGCGATCGTAACCAACGTGTGAAATATCTGATGCGATTGTGGCCAGAGGTCACACTTGCCGGGGTATAACCTCTCGGGCACTCGGCCAGCGTATATCAACGCGCCGACCACATAGATCATTCCCTGGGCTAGCATCAGTGCCCACGGGTACACAAACTCGGGCTCAATTACGTAAAACCAATGGGCGCCGGGTATCACATTGGACAGGCCAAAAATGAGAAACACCAGGGCCCGGAGGGGCTTGTAGGTTGGCGTGGCAAACTTGGGCCACACGCTGATGCACAGGGCCGCCGTGAACATGATGAATCCGACGCTGGTATACGCGTAAAACAAGTGCATATACCGGGTGTAAAAGCCGTAGTAAAACGCGGGTATCATTGAGCATATGATCTGCAGTGATATACCGCAAAAGTCCAACGAGTGAAACAACTGACACACACCCGGCGAATGGCATTTACACGTGTGGTATACGGTGGACAGTAGGTGACAGGCGAGCGCACCCGCGAAGTATATGCACAGCATTAGTGTGTCGACGCCCGTCAGGAGGTGTCGATCGCGGATCAGTAGTACCGGCGCTATCACTGCAAACAATAGGAACCCTATTAAGTGGGTTAATATATTGCCGCTCTCGGAGTGTATGCGAAATATGGACGCAAAACAGGCCCGGAATGAGGGGATGACCGGCCGGTGCTGTCGGTGCAGGTATTTGTTGTCCTGAAGCNACAAACAACTATCACATTTTATAATTTATTTGCAACACCTGACAAAAAATGATTGGAAAATTACTTCAAAACATTTCTAAATGAACATGAATTAAATGGAAATTTGTTTATAATTTTCTATTCATATAAAAATGTTTAGCAAAATGAAAATACATAATATGTTATATAATAAAATAGGTTCAAAAGCATACAAAATGACATAAATGTAGGGAATATTGTGCTTTCAATCCGAGTGCTTATTCTTGACGTGACGGCTAAAGAAGCCAATAGTAGTGTATTGTTTATTACAGCCATTGATAAAACACGTGTACAACTTGGGGCCACCGCTCACATCGGGCATCGGTTGGCCATCACCGCCACCGCATTCGGCCACCCCTTCCGGGTCGGGTTCGCCCGGTTTGGCGGCCGTAGTGTTGGCATAACTATCGCTAGCGTTTGAGTGACGGGTAATGTTGTGAAGTTTAAGTCTCATTAACGACGTGAACGTCTCTTCGCAGCCGTCGGCGCCGCACCGGATGGTCGACCTCTCCGGCTGTGCCGCGTCATCCTTGGGATGCCATTTGATTTGATGGAGTCTTAGATTATAGGATGCTGTATAGGCTTTGGTGCAACCCTTGTATAGACATTTGTACCGCTTTTCGGCCACTTTTACCCCACTTTCGCTCTTATTGACCGACAATTTGTGTCTCTTGTCGTCCTCTTCCGTCCAATTGGCGCTAATCTCGCCGTTGGTCTCAATCTCCGGCTGAGTGTCACTGTTTTGCGGTGATTGTTGTTGTTGTGTCTCATCTATTGGTGGACAGGGAGTGAGATCAACACCATTGCCATCATTTGTCTCTAAAGCGCACTGTTTGTCAAAGTTGTGCTCCAGTGATAGTTCACTGTCTTCGCCGGACCATAGCTTATAGTAAGCATTGATGACATCCATGTCCTCCGGTGTCAGCAGTTTCTTAAATATTAGCAGATTTCTTGATTTTTCGTCCATTTCTTTGATTATTAAAAACTTTTTTTTGACAAATAATTAAACAGTAAAAAAGTTTTACTGTTTGTCACATAAACACCAAAAATCGCTGAAAAATAGTATCAATTTTGAAACATAAAAATGATGTGTAAAACAATGTTTGAACAGAAAAAATGTGTTTTCATTTGGGTTTAAAGTCTAAACTTTCAAAACTTATGGGAAAAGTACTATTAATACATACATTGAAGGATTTTAAACCAGAAACTGTTGACAACTATTGGGTTGTAAACCAGAAAATCATAAATAACTTTTTGGAGGGAACATCAAGGTAATTCTGGGAACTGGATGTTAGTGCCAGTTATCTGTAATCCCAAGACATGGGCCCTCACCTGCCTATTGACCTACACTTTGCTAATACTTTTGCACGTGTTTTTCATTAGGCATTTATCATGTGCTAATAATTAGCAATAGCTAACAATTGTGCTGATCATTAGTGAGGGGGAATAATAAAATTATGGTTATTCTATTTATTTTACTAATCATAACAAATAATTGTTTATTGAATTATAATAATTTAAATCTCAATTTTATGAGTACACAATACACTCACGTAATAATGTACATGTGAATGTAAATAATGTAAAAATTACATACCGGTATAATTAATAATAATTAACAAAAATTACATGTTTAAAAGTAATCAAAAATACATAAATAATTTAAAAAAATAAATGCAAAACAAGGTAAATATTTAAAAATAGCAACAACTTTACAAAAATAACCATATTTAAACAACAACTAACTAATAAACAATACATAATTTAACACAACCACTAAACATGTCTCAAATAAATCATACGATAAATGCTGCGAAAGTGGACAACCGCTGCGATCGTAACCAACGTGTGAAATATCTGATGCGATTGTGGCCAGAGGTCACACTTGCCGGGGTATAACCGCTCGGGCACTCGGCCAGCGTATATCAACGCGCCGACCACATAGATCATTCCCTGGGCTAACATCAGCGCCCACGGGTACACAAACTCGGGCTCAATCACGTAAAACCAATGGGCGCCGGGTATCACATTTGAGAGGCCAAAAATGAGAAACACCAGGGCCCGCAGGGGCTTATAGGTGGGCGTGGCAAACTTGGGCCACACGCTGATGCACAGGGCCGCCGTGAACATGATGAATCCGACGCTGGTGTACGCGTAAAACAGGTGCATATACCGGGTGTAAAAGCCGTAGTAAAACGCCGGTATCATTGAGCATATGATCTGCAGTGATATACCGCAAAAGTCCAACGAGTGAAACAACTGACACACACCCGGCGAATGGCATTTACACGTGTGGTATACTGTGGACAGTAGGTGACAGGCGAGCGCACCCGCGAAGTATATGCACAGCATTAGTGTGTCGACGCCCGTCAGGAGGTGTCGGTCGCGGATCAGTAGTACCGGTGCTATCACTGCGAACAACACGAACCCTATTAAGTGGGTTAATATATTGCCGCTCTCGGAGTGTATGCGAAATATGGACGCAAAACAGGCCCGGAATGAGGGGATGACCGGCCGGTGCTGTCGGTGCAGGTATTTGTTGTCCTGAAGCCATTTGGGCAGTCGGTTGTAGTCAACGCATTGCCAGTCTGTCACGGGTTTGGATTCATGCCATGAGTTTTGGCCATTTGTGGCTGATTTTTGTCGGTATTTTACGTCCATTTTTATTGTCTTTTAAAGTTTTGATTAAAATTATTAATTTTTAATTTGAACTAAATTATTCATAATTTAATTATTTTAATTCTCTCTCTCTCTCTCTCTCTCTCTCTCTCTCACTCTCACTCACTCATACACGCAAATTAAAATTACTAATCAGAATATTTAATAAATACTTACAATTAATTGTTGTAATGATTTATAATAGAAGTTGCGTTGAATTTAGTAGCAATTAATTATTATTTCACTAAATGTCAATTTAAGCAATCATTTATTTATAATAAACTTTTAATAAACACAAAATAGACTTTTAATTCACAACTATTTATAGTGTTACTATTAATATCAAAACTCATCAAGATATATTTTGAGCACTAATAATTCACCATGATCCAAAGTACGAATCAAATGTACTCTAAACCAAATACAAAGTAAAAATTAATATTTTTCTCAAATAAATTATTATAATTTTTACACAAACAAAAGTACACATAATATTTACGCAACATTTCAATGTCTACGCGAAACACACAATAAAATATTGTTTATATAATCATCGCAAATGTTGAGTACACCATAAATACCATGTATTTTCACTGTACTATTAATGCTATAATTCCGGGCAAAACCTTGAAAATTCTGGTTTCACTAATTTTTTGTGTGTGGCATAAAAATGTTGCCTATTTTATACCAAACACGCTGTACTGACTGACACACAAACAACATCCCTATACCCTGTACTATGTGTTTGACATTGGATTCACTCGTACGCCAGTCTATTATCAGTACATTTCGCGGGCATATTACATCCATAGTAAAAGCTAGATATTATTTCTACACCACATAAGTGTACATCCCAAGTAACCCGGGTGTTATTTCGGGTATTTAATTACGCATAAATAATAATATTAATCAGTGTATTAATGTATGTGTTACATTATGATAATTAATATTTTTGTAATTATTAAAGTTGTATAAATAAATGAAATTAATTATTGTCAATTTATTAGTTTATTGACATCATTTATAAATAATACTACAAAACATGTAATGTAGGTGTTATTTACGGTTCCGATCCTTATAAATAGGCTACGAGTCCAACACTAGTCTACTTAATCTGAGCGCAAAGTCTAAAGTATTGTACTGATACAGTAGTACATTAGTTATTAAACTATGTATTTGAAAAATTAAACGGTTAATCCAACAGTAGTAATAGGTTTAAATAGATGAAGACAATTTATGCACACTCTTATGCAAATATTATGGATGCTTTTATAAGTTGGGTTTAAATTATTAAGTAAAAACTTTGAACACGTTTGAATAATTATTTAAAAATAATTTAAAATTTCAAGTTTTAATGAAAATTTATTATACAATTTTATATTTATGTATATTAGTATAATTTATACATTTAATTGTGTGTATGAATTGCAATACATTTTAATCGGCAATTTTTATCGAATGATTAGTTGATTACAACATGTGCTATACTGTATGCATCAGCCATTCATGAACTGTTATTGTAAGACAACGTATGATTTACACTAATAACCGATTAAATAGGCATGAGATGAGAAAAACATCCGACACATTTAGTATTTCATTATTTAAAATTATATAACAATTTTATTTATATTTCAATTTTGAATATTTATTAAAAATATTTATATTTATAAAATGTTTTACTCTTAAATAATTTGCATAAGTTAAACGGTAATTGATGTGAAATTATAGTTTAGTATTTGAATTTAACCCAGACAAACTCTAATCAATAAATTAATGTTGATATGAGAACACCAATGAGCAGGGTAAATACCAATCCCTCAATATTTCTAATTTCAAGATCCTTATAATCAGTTACGTGTAAATCAATGCTGGGATCAAAAAGTCTTAAGTGAGCCATTGTTTTAAACCCATCGTCTCTCCAGTGCCGGAATAAACCCGACTCTCGGCTTTGGATTATACTGTAATTAAATAAATTTTGCATAAAGGTTAAAAAATAAGCTTACAATTAAATTATAATAAATTAAAATTAAATACTAACATTGTGTTTTATCCATTAATTACAGTTGCATTTAAATGCTTATTAATAGCTAGATAGTATGGCGTTTGTCCGCCCCCTTCACGGGACACATACATGTGCCGCAAAATATGGGGTTTGTCCTGAAAATAATTATTAATTATATTGAGAAATAGATCGACGCTAAACACATAAGCGTAATGATCTAGGTCGTATTTGGTGAATGTTTGACTCATGTAATCGTTGCTCAATTGAGCGACAATTGTAATAATTCTCGGTTTGAAATTGACTGCCATTTCATTGTCTGTTTCGGTTTCAGAAAAGCTGACAATAATGTTGGCCGGAGTCGTGACAATCTTCAGGTGCGACCACTTCTGCAAGTCTTCCCACGAGTCGATGTACTCGTAATCCATGGGTTTAATCATATTATCTAATAAATAGCTACTAAACAATATGATCAAAAACATTGACAACAAAAGCCAAAATATGATCATTTGATTAAATATTAGATTCATTGAGTGAAGAGATTTGGGAATTAAATTTGAAAATAAAACCATAAATAAATTGATAAAATTAATGACAATTCTTGAAGGTTTTGCTTCAATTATATCTAGATTTTAGTCAAATTATAAAAGTGCTAAACCGAGGCATCTATATCCGAACACAATTGCCCCCATTTTTATATAACACACAATACATTAAAATGCATAAAAACGTTTAGTTAAACTTTATACAGTAGTTTGATATTTAAGGAGTTTGAGAGCAACTATAGGTAAATTTTGACAAATGTATGACAAATAAAATAAATCATAACAAATAAAACAAAACAAATAAAATCATTTATTATTATAGTATTTTTATCAAACTTTTAATACAACTACAAATATAATTACAGAATATTCTGTCTTTAATGACAATTCATACAGATATTAATTTTAAATTTTGAGGTAAATTAAGTGCCAATCGTTTGTAATCTTCTTTAAGCCCACAATTGATAAAACATTTAATGTATTTAATCGGCGTTTGTTTCGCCACTTCTATCAACTCAATGATGGACTCATTGGTAATGTCTTTGCAATACGAGAGGTCCAGACATTTGAGTTGCGGACACCCATTGATCACATGAATCACCAGCTGATCCTTCAGCTCCGGAACACTTGACAACTTCAGATGAGTCAAGTGTTTCATGTGTCCAATCGGTGACAGGCATTGGTTGGGATCCGATTCAAAGCGACTGTAGATTAGCTTCAGTTTCTGGAGTTGTGGCACAAATTTGGCCATACCTTCGACACAGTCGGCGGCCATCGCTGAACACTTTATAGATAATGACCGCAATTTTGTGCAATTCTTCAGGGCTTTAATATCATTGTAACCAATGGTCGACTGATCCGACTGTAACGACAAGTTTAATGTCTCCATCGCTTCCAGTCGTGAGATATCGGCGAAGAAACTATTGACTTGTGTTTGAGTGAAATCCGATTGAAATAACAGACAATCAAAACGTCGAAGTAATGGAAAAGTATCGGCGATTAATGACATGGATTTGGGATCAATTAAATGAAAGTTTAGCCTCAGGTCTCGCAATTGATTGACCACTTTATGGCGCAAACACTGTATGGCTGTATCGGTGAACAGATAAGCGGGTATTTTAATCATTTTAATCCCACTATTAATCCATTGAAACGCGTTTCCCGTGTATACCATGTTATAAAGTTTTTGGTCACTGTTTGACAAAATTCTCGTCAGTATAAAGACATCAAGTTTTGGCAAATTCTTCAGCAATACTTCAATTGTCTTCTCTCTGATCAACACATAAAACAACTCAAATTGAAAAACACGAAGATTTGGGAAATTTACTGTCAGTGCGAGCGCTTCCGCTTCGGTGACAGTCACTTGATTTTTATCCCATTTTATTGACAACTGTTGCAGATCTCTGTCACCAAAACTATTGACCACTGAATGTAAAACATTACGTTTGAATTGACATTCACTCAAACAAATGGACAACACGTTTACATTAGGAAACTTTGGACAGATTTGTGACAATAATTGCTGAAATGTCTCATGTCTTACGATTGTCTTTGAGATGAGTTGATCCAAATAAATGACAGACACGTGTCCAGCAGTGATGTCCAACTTATAGGGCCTGTAATTGCCGTAACTTTTATTTTCGTTGTCTTCAACCACAAGACTGGTTATCATCGCAAACATACCGTCGATGACATCCCGCCATCGTTTGCACACTAACTGTGCCCTCAGTTGTGACCGCAAATCCAATTCATGGATAATCTTCACTAATAACTCATTTGGCAATTCATTAACCGTTGTGTCCATCGAGTCATGCATTTTGGACATCAAATCAATGATAACACGTCTTCAGCAGTGAATTCAATATCACATGAAATGATAATAATTATACAAAAATGTGATTCAAAATCAGATAATGTAAACGCTATGAGTGTAAAATAGGTGTGAGTTTTACTATGAATGCTATACACGTTATGGAAATACCAATTAATTATTGACTTTTAATTACCCATTACTAAAGAACATCAGAATATTTACGATAAAAGTCCAAATATTTTATATAATCTATATACCTTTACTAATAAAGGAGATATTTTATGTTTAAATATTTGGCCTTGCTTATATAGTATTTAATAAGCATTGAAGATATAGGAAATATTTATTATAATTACGAGGTCATTCAGAGCCACTCATAGCTTTCATTCATAGGTTATAGTATCGCTGTCTAACTATGCAAACACTAGCGTCAAAATACTAGTAGCCTTGACTGGCCCTAAACTTGGATAGAGTAATGACTATATATCAATAAAATTAGTATTAATATAAAATAAGTTGTGATTAACGAACTATGCAAGTTTATGGCCAGTCAAGGCTATCAGTATTAAGAGACTAGTGTTTGCATAGTTAAACAGCGATAGGTTATAGCAATGATAGACAGATTTACATTGTATATAAAGTGTGAGTTTTATATGTGTGAGTCCAGTATATGAGTCCAGTAACTTATTCAACCAATAGAGTACTACATGTATTTAATCCCCTTCTCTTACCCCCTCTTTCCCCTAAGAATGGGGAGACAGACAGCGAGAGCCAATCATATTAGCAGCTTTTTATGGGATATATTTATAATATATAAGAAGAAGATTTTGAATATTTATTAAAAAGATTTATATTCATAAAATGTTTTACTCTTAAATAATTTGCATAAATCAAACTGTAATTGATATAAAATTATAGTTTAGTATTTGAATTGAATTTAACCCAGACAAACTCTAACAAATAAATTAATGTTGATGTAAGAATACCAATGAGCAGGGTAAATACCAGTCCCTCGATATTTCTAATTTCAAGATCCTTATAATCAGTTACGTGTAAATCAATGTTGGGATCAAACAGTCTTAAGTGAGCCATTGTTTTAAACCCATCGTCTCTCCAGTGCCTGAATAGACCCGACTCTCGACTTTGTATTATACTGTAAATTAAATAAATTTTGCATAAAAGTTAAAAACAAAATAAGTTTACAATTAAATCATAATAAATTAAATGAATACTAACATTGTGTTTAAGCCATTAATTACAGTTGCATTTAAATGCTTATTAATAGCCAGATAGTATGGCGTTTGTCCGCCCCCTTCACGGGACACATACATGTGCCGCAAAATATGGGGTTTGTCCTGAAAATAATTATTAATTATATTGCGAAATATATCGACGCTAAACACATAAGCGTAATGATCTAGGTCGTATTTGGTGAATGTTTCACTCATGT